TTTCCTAGTCCCACTCAGTCTGTGCATTGAGTAACGATTATTCCCCTAAAAAGTGACATTTGATAGTTCCAACTTCTCGAATGTGAGGATTTATTACTTTTCCTTGTCTTACATTAGTAAATTGAATATTTTTTGACAGTTGTCTGGACATAACAAGACCTCTGATGACATCCATTTGGGCTGTACAAAATTGTGATGGGTATTTTCACTGTTAGATTAGTTGAGTCAATATTAATCAATAATGAAAATAATTGATGTTTGCAGCCCTAGACGCACTACTGAGAGTCAAGTATTTCAATGGAATCTCAGTGTGAACTCGTCTAATTTAATTAAGGTTTTAGGTTAATTGTAGGGCTCCTCTGAGTTCTCCCTTATAATGTTCCTATCATGGGATTTCCAGCTGGCATCATTCAGTGTAATAGCATAATAATAAAATTTGAATGTGATAATATTTTTAACTAAATCGCTTTCCTAAAACACAGATGAATATTCCCAGAAAACCATTCTTTGATCGTGAACACTTTCTTTCAGTGCAATTTTACTGTTCTGACTCATGTAACACTGATTTTAGGCGACTGCTGTTATTCTCTTAACAAGCATGTCACTTCCTGTTAATATCAGGATGTGATAACAAGGGTGGGGGGGGGGGGGGGTCCTCTATACTTGTAATCTCTGTGCTATGAAATGTCGCAACCTGTAAAAAACAGCACCGACTGAAGTGCCTAATCCTAATGCTTTTCTTTGATCTGCTGGAATCAGAGGACACAGCTACAAAGTTGTACTTATCATATCTGCCTCATCCTACCTGCTCAGATTTGTGTAAGAACAAGATCCTGTGAATGTTTCTGGGATGTAGCACTGAACCCCTGTGACCTCTTTACATACATTACTCTCCTACTTAAGATAAGTCTTATGGAAGAGTGCCACACTAATCTGTAGAGTCATATTAAGTATCAAAGTCAGCCTCAGGTAAATTAATGTCTGTCTCTCCTCCTCCTCTACATCCTGCTCCAGTCGTGGTCAGTTTCTCCTTTACACATGGACTCTAACATTTCTGTATGCCTGGTCACCAGCCTTAATTCTGAATCTTTCACCATAGCTTTAATTAGCTGTGTTTCAATTTTTAATAACCCCCTACCCACTGTGTCGTTATGCCTGGTTCCCATTTGGAAGTGCAGATTAGATTCGGCCACAGGCAGTGGTTAGCACAGAGGGAGATTTATTCCAACGGCAAGGAACATGGAGCGAGATTTCAAAGTCATATGGACAGATACCACCTACTGCTATAGTAACCAGACCAGCATTCAACTAGCTTTCAATATTCACCTCCATGGATATTTTAATTAACACACACCTTCGGCACATAACTGCACTCTATATTCTTATATGGAAGCAGTGGGGCCTAGTATTGACTCTGTTGCATGTCATCCTCAACTTTCTCCCCATCTCTAACATCAACTGTCAAAAAAATGAAGGATAAAGATGGTGCTATTCTAATTAATGAATCATTTCCTACAACATCCGGGCACTCAAAGGTTAATAAATAGTACATTTGCTGAGGGACTATTTTCAGGTGTGGATTAATACACACATTTGGTGATGAAGGAAAATGTCCCTGAGTACAACAGTGTTGCTCACTGACAACAATGAAGGTCTGTGGGATGAGATATATCAGACTTTGGCTATGATTATTATTATTATAATATTAATAATTATTTTTTTTGGTGTTTTCATGGGATTTGTTGACACAAGAAAACTATAGAACCTGTAGCTCCACCTCACTATGAACGCTATACATGTTATTTCTATAAAATGCAAATATTAGTTTTGCCATAATAAATAATTGCATAATATATATGTCACAATTCATCATTGAAGTTTAGAGTCATGTTTCCATTTTGTAATTATTTTTTGTATTAAAGAACATGGTTTATAACCTTGTAACAAAGCTATTTAAAACACTGGTGATTAAATGCGCGTCTTTGAAACCTGACAGTGACAGTTCAGCACTAATACCCAGCTTGAGAGCGAAATAATAACCACTTAACAAGGAAACTCCCAGGCTGTGTCAAAAGCTAAAATTAAAGACTGATAGTCTATGAGAGGAAGCAGGAGCCCCCTGTTACAGCCCAAGGGCCTCCCCTGACTCACGCTGAGATGTTGAAACTAATGGTGTTGGTACTGTGTGCAAGCAGACAGGCTGCAGGGAAACTGCTGTGCCAGGAGTAAATGTAAAAAACAGGTATTTTAGTGTGGTGTGAAATATTTATTGGATTTATTCATTTCTAAAAATAAAAACAAATCATGCACTATTCACACTTTTTCTAGATGCTTTTACAAGGTTGTCAGATTTAATTTAACTGATAAAAATTTACATGTTGGTGAAATGAAATGATGAAATTAAATTAAATGAATCCGTGCATAAGGTTAAGTGACCTGCAGATTTTTATTGATTCCTTAGTCAAACATATGAAAGGCTGTTTATCTATAGTTAGATAATCCATAATAATCTAAAAATCCTAATATCTGACTTTGAAATACTTGGTTTTCCTGAGTGGAAAAGATTAAACACTATATCTTGCCCTGACCCTCCTATTTGGACTGCAGATTTTTTTTTTCACATTTCAAAGTGTAAACACTGTTATTCTCGGATTCTGGGGGGAATTCAGGGCAGCAGCAGCATTTTTGAGCTATAATTGAAGTCCCACAGATAAGTTGCTGTCCTGGTATTGGGATTTGAGATCTGCTCGCAGTGACCCAGTTAGCTTCACAAACACATTAGCTTCTTCAGCTCGTATACAAACCCCTTATAGTAACCCTGCAGATGCAACAGCACTTGGCCTGAAGCCATGAAAATTATCAAGACCATCATCAGGATTAAAATCTATCCACTCACAGATCATTTGTATCATATTAGATACATTTTTTATCATGGGAATGGGAGTGTTAATTACTATTTACAGATCGTATTTTGAGATTGTGGAGCGGGTATTAGGGGTATTAGTATTAGGGGTGGCTGTAGTGTTGCCATATAACAAAGGCTTCAAAACTGATTTATCTACTGACTGGTGGAAGCTCTGAATGTTTCCATTTTCAACCATTTCTGTGCTGTTTTTCCACAATCGTTTCATCTTCTGTGTGCCTCTTTCTCTCCCTGTGCCTCCCCCTTCAACTCCAACTCCCCATTTTCTCGCCAAGCCTCCATTTCTCTCTGTCCCAGACACTCCTTTCTCTCTTTGAGGATGATATCATAATGAAGCATTGTAAGCCAGTACAGTGAGGTGATTAAAGCTTCTGCTGCCCTCCACTCTGCAGAATACTTCCCCTAAAACGGTCCGCTGCTGCCCCTCTCTCTTATTCATCCTCGTATTGTATTAGCCAGCTAGCTGGAAGTGAAGCTTGTCCTCCTGATGGCTGCTCAGTTCCCAGTGGAGTATGTGGCCTACATTTGTTTGTGGTGCAATGTTGAGCTGTGAGAATATGTTCCTTTATCAAAGAATTCCTGTTTTCTGCAGCGTACCCCTTTTGTTTCCTTAAGCATTCACTTTTTTGAAGCTACGTACTCTTTCTTTCTGTCTGTATGTCTTTCCTTTTCCTGTCTGTTTTCTCATACATGCATGTATGCAGCATCCATCAGCAATTGCTTACCATTCAGCTCACAAGCACATGCCCTCGTAACCTTTATAATACACAGAGCATACGTGTGCAAAGATGCACGTTTGAAAAAAAGCACACACTCACACACACATATATACACAAAGGTCACCTTCCCTGGCTTCATTAGAGACTGCTTTATTATGGCTGACAGATGTGCCCATAAATCATAGGTCCCCCGGTGGAGCGAGAAGATCCAAAACAAACTGATAAAGGTGAAACACAGTGAGAAAGGGAAGGGGAGAACAGGCAAACAGACAGAAGAACACACACATACATTAATCAATACACTGTAGCTATTGATAATGTGTTGAACAGTAGTTTTCTGCTATTGAGGCAAAACCATCACACCGCCTAAATATTATTCCGTTGTCTTTGGCGTCCCGGTGAAGAGATAAGCAGCTTTTCACTGACTTTTGTCAAAGAGAGAAAATAGAAGGGAAGTCCTTATCTTTAGAGGAAAATGAACTGTTAAAGGGAATAGATTGCTGCTTCAGATTCTAAAATATCCAAAGTGACTCCAGGAGAGATTCAGATAAAAACCCAATCGAGCATCTTTGTAAGATTCAGCCAGAGACGAAGATCCTCCTCGTGAAACTCATTACTTCTGACCTCGGTGCTTTTGTTACAGCGCGGCTCGTGTCACTCTGCATTGTCTGCAACACTGTAAAGGAAGTTAATCCTCCTTTTTTTTTTACCTGAACAGACACAGAAGTGAACTCTTTTAGGCCTGTGAGAGAAACACTTTACATAGACATTATGATTATGATTTAAAATAATTCCTAATTTTGAACGTGCAAAGCAAGGAGTCTTGATCAAGTAAAATAGCTTTAGCTTCTTTTAACCCATGCTAACCTGTTTGAATTATTACAGTGCCTTGAGCCGTAGCCAGGAGTCAGCCTCAATGCACCCTTTATACTTCACCAGAAACCAGATTTTTTTTTTTTTAAATTTATATTTTCTTGGATTTTTAGCCATGCTGCATGTGGATCACTCCACCAGTATTAGATCGATTGCTTTGAAATTTACAACAGATATTCAAGGTCTCCAGAAGATACAATCTAATGACTTTGTCACTGCATTATTAACATTATCACTTGAAGTGCGATAGTTCTAAATGTCCCTCCTTGAAATTGGTTCAAAGTTTGGCATTTAGCACAAGCACAGGTAGACTATTAGTGTTATTAATATTTTTTTAGTCAAAGGTTTTATATGTAACTTTCAGAAAACTATAATGTATATAATGTAGCAATGTACAATGTAGCCAGTTTAATATCATTGTTTAGCTGTCCAGCACAACTTTGCTGTTTTGGTTCACTCTCACTGTTCTCATAGCTTTGTTATTGGACAAAACACACACACAACAGGCAGCTGTTTTCAGTGAAAAGATAGAAGAAAAAGAAGATATACTTTATTAATCCCCTAGGGGAAATTGTTCTTTTCATTCTTTTTTTATACACACACACACACAGGCTGAAATACACACTTCATGCACTTGTAGACATGAAAAAGGGAGAGAGATGGTGGAATGATGGAGCTGCAACGTTAACAGCGCCCATGAGCAGGCTTGGGGTTAGGTTGCCTTGCTCAAGGGCACCTCGGCAGTGCACAGGAGGTGAAACTGGCAACTCTACAGCTACCAGTCCACACTCCATATTTTGTGGTCTGTGGGACTTAAACCGGTGACCACACCGGTTCCCAAGCCAAGTCCTACACACTGAGCTACTGCCGCCCGAGAAGAGAGAGAGAAGGAAAATCAAAAGGTGACAGAGACAGAGACAGGCACAGCAATAACAACAACAGTAACAGTAACAACCTAGAATAGTAAACAATATGACTTATAATAACAATGATAATCTTTGACACTGATGCCCCAATGATGATAACAGCCATAATAATAATGATGAATGACAAACAGGAAATAATAATGATGATATTACAAAAACAATAATATTAGTAGTGCATCCAGCAGGACCACAGCAACAGCCGCAACAGCAATCCCTTGATTTAGTCACAACCATGATGCATGAGAACCTGCAAGAATGAGAAAGCACAACTCCGGGGAAGAAGTTAAGTTAGTTAAGATGCATTAATGTGACATGAATGTTGTGCAGATAGAGAGTGGAGAGGAGGGAGAAGAGGAGCTCAGTGCATCAGTCTGGCCCATAAGCAGCATAACTATGGGATGGTTTAGGGTTCACCTGAGCCAGCTATAAGCTTTATCAAAGAAAATAACACGTTGAATGTGGAGTGAAAACTGGAAACTGCTTGATAGCTG